CTTTCATGTGTGACATGTTTTAGTGAAGGAGCTGTCGTCGTGATTGAATGCATGCAATTCCCAGGTCTGGTAGGTGCGACTCCTTCCGTTTTGGATCAAGTAGGAGTTCGAGATGGTGAATGTAGCGGGGCATCGGCGTCACGTGCTCACGGGTAAGAGAGCTATGACAATGCCGTCGCGCTAGTAGCAACGCGAAAGATGTACGCTCGGCGCAATCCAAGTCCCACCAGAAACACCACAGCGCAGTACCAGACTGCAACTCGACATTAACGCGATCGCGCAACCTGGTTATGAACGTCATTCGCTCCTAGGATTCGCCATGTTACTCGAGGAGAAAGATCATGCCGTGTTCAAAAGTTGGTTGCTACCGAATGTGGAGAACATGTAAGTCGGAGCTACACATTGCTCTCACCAGAGCTATCGCGCAGGCGCATGCTGACCTGCATTGTAGCTCCGGTGTGGAAGGCGGAGTGCTCGCTGACTATGTAGCCGCCCTCGTTACCGTCGACGACACGGATGCAAACGTGCAGCGTACCTTGATCGAGTCACTGCAAGACTTTCTTGGCCCGGAGAGTAAGCGCATGCGAAGGCTACGTCACAATTCGTCGCTAATGGCCCAAAGACACCGAGCCTTTTGCAAAAGATGTCATTGCAGCACTCAAAGCTAAGAGCTACCTTGCGAAGCCGAAAGCGAATGACGCGAAACCACAAGCATCGTCTCAAGCCTCACAATCCGCGCCCATACAGTCCATAGTTGGTAGCACCAACTTCGAATACGAACCGCATCCGTCGAACGTGCCATTTGGGGCCCCGAAAGGTCCTGCTGCCAACAGGAACTCAGCAGCATCACACCTCCTACCCGACCGACCGACCGCTCAGGGCTTACATCAGGATGGTTCAAATCAGTCGAGGAAGCGCAAGGTGTTGGAGAGGGACAACAGCCAGTCGCAAGAGGGCCAGGATCCACATTATACCCGCGGCGGCGCAGGAACCAACAGGCCGTCGAAGCAGACAGCTCGCAGAGGCGGTAGGAATGCCGGGACTGGAGATGCGCGGACACAGAACGCGTTCGCGACTTTTGGCGGTATGCCGAATTTCGCAAACCTTCCACCGCCGCCGCCAGGCCCTTTACCATTCGATACCTCAGATCCCATGGCTTTCTTTGCTATGGCAGCAGCCTTCGGGGCGAATCTGCCGGGCATGCCTCAGCTTCCTTTCTCCAATGCGCAAGACGGTGGCTTGAACCAAGGACAGCCAAAGACAAAGTGTGCTGATTATTATGAAAGAGGTTTCTGCGCGCTGGGTACCCTTTGTCCACACGAACACAGCGACGCCGCCGTAGCAGTTTCACCCGACGAAATCCCCGAGTACGATCAGGAGCAGTCTTTCCTTGCTGTACAGCCATCTAGAGGATCCAACAAGCAAGGAGTGTCCGGTGGCCAGCCTCGTGCAACTAAGGGTAGAAGGGCACGCGCATCGTTCTCTTTGCCGGGCTACTCGCGTGACAAGTCGAATAGGACACTTGTCGTCGAACAGATCCCCGCGGAGCATTTCAACGAGGACAGCATACGGAGCTACTTCTCGGAGTTTGGCGATATCGATGAGCTCGAGCTACACTCTAGGAGGCAGTTAGCAGTGATCAAGTTTGCTGATCGCCAGACAGCTAGGCGTGCTTATCATAGTCCCAAGGCCGTCTTTGAGAACCGGTTCGTCAAGGTCTACTGGTACGCACCAGAAACAAAGGAAAAGCTGGCTCAAGAGAAGCAAGAAGACGAAGAAGAGAAGCTCGACCTAGAGGCGATCGCCATTAGGCAGGCAGAAGCTCAGAAAGCGTTTGAGGAGCGCCGTCGCAAGGCTGCGGAAGCAGACGCGAGAGCTGCTGACATTGAGAGACAGCTGGAAGAAAAGAACAAGGAGATAGAAGAGATTAAGCGACAACTTGCCGAACTATCAGGGGACCCGAACGATGACTTCGCTCAGACTCTTGCAACGCTACAGGCTGAAGCAGCGGAACTTTTTGATCAACATGGTCCTGGTGAGCAGGAGACACATGGCCGCGGCGCCTTCAATCCAGCTTACCGAGGTCGAGGATACGCTCCCTTTGCACCTCGGGGTAGGGGCTTTGGACCTTACCGGGGCGCGTACAGGGGCCGTGCAGGTGGTTATGCTGGTCGAAGTGTAGTGAATAAGAAGCTCGACAACCGGCCTAGGCGTCTGGCAGTCACCCAGATCAAGCCAGATACACCGAGGGATGAGTCTCTGCGGCAGCACCTTCTCGTGAGTAGAAGTTATATGTGGATTCATTCATCTCTGCTAACGATCTGTACAGAACACACCCGAATGCACAAATATTGAGCGTCACCCCGAGCAAGCCGACACCCTCATCCTAACCTTCAAAGAGCGCTACCAAGCAGAAACCTTCCTTGACCAATCCCTCAACATTCCCGACGTTGGCAAACTCGATCTCGCATGGGTTCCGAACGACGCCTTTGGTGGTCTCAGATCCGTAACGACGACAGATGATGCACCCGCTGCTCCACACGACGATGATGGCGATGACTCTTCCGCTACCATCGGAGAGCAGGAGATCAAGGTCGAAGAAGATGAGGATCGGCAGATGGGAGGTGTGGATGCGGATATGGATGTTGCGGATGATGTGGATGAGTGGCTGTAAGTGATACCCTTAGCATGTGATGTGTAGTGACAGACAGACTCTGTGAGGTCCTTCTCTTCTTCTTTATTACTATCAAACATCAGCGTGGCGTCATGCTTTTAGGTCAAGGAGCATGGTGTGTTCTCGAGATAGTCTCTTCGCATGAATGTAATGCATCAATATACTGTTTCTTCAGTCTCACAACGTCACATTGGCGCAGACATTTAAGAGGCTTCCACGCCCCACCTCACATATAATATTACACTCCAGCCCTCCAATCTAATAATTACCAGTTGAGTCTGTCCTTATCCCTCCAACTCCGTACACCAGCTCCAACAACATATTCACCTGCCACGTAGTTCCGTACAACATCCTCCCCTGTTCCCAAACTCCTTCCTCCAGGTCTTTTGGCAACCCACGCCCTCATTACAACATAGCCTGAAACCTCTTCACCTCATCCCCCTTCACACCTTCAAACCAACTCACGCGATCCTTGACAAACAGCTCGCGCGTCGGCTTCAACTTCGTCTCGACCAGATTGAAATCATCCACTGTCCCAAGCCGCAAGATGGAACAATCCGGAAAAGCAGCGCCAACACGATACATGAGCGTCCCGCAAGTCTTGCAAAAGTAGTTCGTCATAGTGTGGCCCGAAGCTATCGTCGAGGCCTGACCGTACGACGATAAGTTAGCACGACCACGGAGGTGGCGCAGGTGTCTATTATATCTCTTGTTAGTCACTGCACTGCCATCTGTCTCCCCAAAACCCCAGAACCATCCAGATAGGAAAGAAAAAAGACTTACGAGTCCCTAACCGTAAAATTACTAGCAAACATACTCGCAGTAATCTTCCTGCAATCCGCACAATTACACACAAACGACGATACCAAACCGGGGCCCTCGACCGGGAAAGCGAGTTGAACTGCGCCGCAAAAACACGTCGCAGTCGCTTCTTCGTTGTTGGAAAACCCGTCTTTGGCCTGCCCCGCGAGCGGGAAGTAAGGCAGGGATTTATCGGATGTGCTGACGGACATGGCCATGGATGAGGCTATTGGTGCGGGGTCACGCGGTGAGGGTGTGAATGGTATGACGGGCGTGGGCGTTTGAGTGGTTCGCGTTGATGTTCTGGTAGACGTGCGCGTCGAGGGTTGCCGTGAGGTTTGCGTGGAAGGCTGTGTTGTCCTTGTGGAGTTCTGCGTTGAGGGTCGCGGTGTTGAAAGCGGGGATGGGGATAGTGCGTAGGCGTTTCCTGGAGCTCGTACTGGCGTTCTTGGTAGCGGCGGGGGAAGACTAAGTGTTGATGTTGCTGCCTCGGTAGGCGTGCCGGTGCTTTGAACTGGTGTATCTCCCCAGTTTGCGAAATCTTGGATGTTAGACCCGCGGCCTAGGAACATGGAACTTGCTTTCTTGCGCAGCGAGGAGTGCGATGGTGGCGTGGAGAGTTCTTTGCGTTTCTCTGTTACTAGTAGTGTAGTTGAACTCTTTGACTTGCGCAGCACGGCTGGTGGTGGATTGTCGGTGCCGGGGATGTGCAAGTCGGGATTCAAGCGCTGGGCGATTTGCTTGATGAACTTCATGGTTGCGACTGGCTTTCCCTCTCTTTTTAATGTTCCTCTCTCCCTTCCTTGCCTCGCGATATGTTGTGTACCCCAGGATTTGTAATGGTGAGCACTAAAACTTTCGCGGGAGCTGCTAAGTTGGCTGACAGATCAGATAATGCAGGTCGTGTTTTCCCTTGCGTTCGCTCAGTGGCTATACCGGCCTATTGTTGTGGTTGTTGTTATCGACGGTTTGCTCTGTAAGCCAATATATCATTTCGTCATCGATGTATTACACACATGGAAAAACGTCGCTTTAACCCCGACTCCGCATTTCCTACACTTTCCAGCCCCACAAGGTAAGGATTCAAGAACACAACGGACCCCCGGTTCTGGGATCGAATAGATCGGAACAAACGACGAAAGGGGAGGGTTCGTTGCTACGGACTTGTTTTGGTCTTCCCAAGCCAGCAAAAACAATTATGGCACGCGTCGCGTACTTTCCGTTGGGACGGCTTCACGCTTGAGGCCTGATCTGCGGTGTTAGTGGCCGATTGGTGGTTCCTGACGATATGCAGGGATCGGTTGCATGCGATTTGGACGGTTTCGGTGATTTGGTAAGCATGTCCGTTGGGTCGTGTTCATGGGAAATGCATAAGCTTTACTGTTCACCCTCGATTTTGTTGAGCAGGTGCGACATCAAGCTAGGATACCAATGAACCTTGTATCTGAGACAGTACTGTAAAGTGAACTTTCCCCATGTCGCAGCCATGGTAATTGTTCATTTTCCCAGTTCTCGTTTTCAATAGCTACTCCATGATCTCACTCTGCCTTGCTCCTTCCACTCCATGGACCCAACTCACCCTATCCTTGACGTAAACCTCCCGCTTGGGTCTCAGTAAGCCCTCCATCAGATTCAGATCGTCGACAGTGCCTGCTGCATTTAGTACACACTTTGCTTGATCGAAGGACATCACATACCAAGTCTCATTATGCTAAATTCGGGATGCCGCTCACTCAGCCGGTACATGAGCGTCCCACATGTATCGCAGAAGTAGTTCGTCATCGCCTGGCCAGAAGCAGTCGTCTGAGACTGTGAGAACTTCTTCAGATTGTCCTGGCCGCGTATGTGCTTGACAGCTGAAGCCGCGACAATGAAAGCTGAAGTAAAAGCCGACGCTGTGATCTTTCGGCAATCGGTGCAGTGGCAGACGAAGATGTCTACGAGGCCTGGGGCGGTGGTTGGCTGCGTTGAGCATTAGATCTGTGTGATAGAGGAAGACTGGAGCTACTGGACCGCGAACTTACGAATGCTAGTTGTACAGCTCCGCAATAGCATGTAGCTGTCGCCTCGCCTTCTTTGGAGTAGCCATCCTGATTTAGACTGTTATGGGGTATGTACGGTTTTTCCTTATCTGAGTCTCGTGTAGACATAGTGGTGATGTCCTTGCTTGACTATGACGTAACCGTTGCAGAAGAGGAGTGATTGTGGATGGTACAAGAAGAAGCTTTTTGGGGGCTCAAAGCGATGCTATGTAGTCATGCTTATCTGTGTAATCCAACCTCTAACTCCGATGTATTGCCGGAGGGAGTGCATGTCCGACCCTCCTCTCACTCACTCCGCTCACTCCGTTAATTTCATACAGGCCCCGGACAAAGAAACACGGGCGGTCCATATGCGCTCGTCGGGCGCCAGCATAATCCTCATGGTAGCTTTACTGAGCTGTAAAGTGTGGCATTCTCGGACAAAGACTTAGGCATCTGAAGAGAGACGCATCGAAGTAATCGATAGGCCCTTACAACTTACTCGCCTTACCCTGCCCCAGCGTAACAACCAATTTACCAAACTGACTCGCACTCTTCATATCCTCAAACAGGGTATCAATCTTCTCCACATCCAAACCATGCACACTGCGACTGACCACAGGCTTCATCTTCTTCTCCTTGACAAAGCGCACCATATCAGCGAACTCCTTCCTCGAACCCATGGTGGAGCCACGGACTTCGATGTTGCGCAGCACGGCGGACATGAGGAAGTCCATTTTGGGGGATACGGTCATGCCGTATATGGAGATGACGCCGCCGGCCTATATTGATAAATTAGATCGTTGTATCAAAAAACGGAGAGAGGAATGGAAGAACGAACCTTGAGTATCTTACTCCCCACTTTAACAACATCACCGCCCGCGCCATCAACAATAGCGTCAAGGTACTTCCTCTCCTTGGGCAGCATGGCCTGAAGTTTCTTATCCCAATCCTTCTCCTTGTAGATAACACCTCCCTTCGCACCCAATTTAACCGCCTTGTCAATCTTCTCCTGGTTACCGCTCGTCACGTAGACATTGCAACCTTGTGCCACAGCGAACAACAGCACCATAAGCGCAACACCGCCTCCAATACCCGTAACGAGGATATTGCGTCCTGGCATCGCATTCCCGCTCTTAACCCAGAACGCGCGCCACGCCGTCAGCCCGGTAAGGGGCAGCGCGGCAGCCTCCTCGTCGTTGAGATGGTCGGGACATTCCTCCAGCTCACCGGCGTCAAGCGCGCAGACATCTTGTAGTGTGCCCACGGGATTGCTCTTCGTGCCGCCCATTATCGCATACCCCTTGGGATGTTCGGGGCCGTCCATGCTGTCCTTCCAGCCCGTACCGGGGTTCAGCAAGACGCGCTTGTTGAGCCATGATTGTGCGGAGGGGGATGCGCCGGCGGAGGTGACGATGCCGACGCCGTCTGCGAGGAGGGGCACGCCGAAGGTTGTGCCTGGGTAGAGGTGTTGGCGGATGAAGAGATCGCGGTGGTTCAGAGCGGCGGCGGTGAGGGTTATGAGGGCCTGGGTGATGGGTATTAGATTGTGCGCGGGTGTCAGGTTGTGGTATAGGGAGCTTACTTCATTTTCTTTGGGCTTGGGCTCGGGGACGGTTGTCTTCTCGAGCGGGTAGTAGACTTTGCCTGGCTTGCCTTCGACTTGTCTGATCACGATGGCGGAAGGCATTGTTGTTGATGGTGATTGAGACGTGATGTGGTGACGCGTAGCAGTTCAATGTCGGGCGAACAGGCTAGGGAGGATGCGTGATTAGATATGTGCAGCTTAGATGCGCGGAGCGATGACCCGAGTAGCTCATCATGGTTGTCGTGCTCGGATGCATGACGAAAGAGCTCCTGGACCGAGGTCGCGTTCGGGGCGGAGGGTATGCTTATCGATCGATGCGGGGAATCCGGATGACGGGGATTACTCGGTCTTTGCAATGCAACACACGTTGGGATTCATCAGGAGCAAGTCGTACTGTAATTGGTATTCCTTCTTGCAAGAGTGATGGGTGGCATTCATTTCATATAATACATTAGTGATGCAGGTTCCTTTAGGGCCTCCACCTGAACGACGGATGCCGCCAATCCAGATCCTCAATCTCACCCTGCGACTTGCCAGCCAGCTCCTGGTCAACATCAATGGCATCACGCTGCTTGTTACTCCTGTTGATCCAGAGCAACAATAGAATACTCGATATCAAGATCGTACTGCTGGTCGCCAGATTGAGCCCATTGCCGATGGGATAATTAGGCGCATCTGTTGGGAGGAAACTCCAAGTCGAGATCAGGCCGCCTATATTGCCGAACATGACAACGGTACCTAACATTCGGTCAGACTTTGCTTTGATCATGACGTACAAGTTCTGGTACTTACCAATAGCGGATGCACGCGCCGTGTCGGACACGACGTTGGCGGAGCCCTGCGCGTTGCACAGCGCGCCAAACGAGAATGCTCCCGATGCAATGAGGAAGGTAGCACCATATCGAACTTGCCCATCTGTACTGGCTAAGAACATGATGTATCCGATCATCATGAGTGGTGCTCCCAGGATGAAGAAAATCATGCGCCTGTCGAATCTCCAGCTCAGGAATGGTAGGAGAAGTGTAAAGAAGGCGCCCACAATGTATGGTGGCACGGTGTGAAGTTGCTGCGAAACAACCGTATCGTTTGGGTATATCGTCTTGACGATCGTGGGCGCGAAGAAAGCCAGACCCTGTACCGTGATGTTGTCGAGAAGGAAGATGAAAGAAGTCCCCAGTACCACAGGATTGAAGATACCGCGAAGCGTCTTCTTCCTGTCTAGCTTATCCAGGACCTCGTTCTGCCCGACACGTTCGGACTGGATCAAAAGTCAGCAGTTGTACTATACATACCGGGTTGTCTAGCCGAATCCACGATTTCTTGTGCTATGTATCTTCCAGAGTAGATGGTGACATACCTTGACACGAGCAATCGCCAAATCCTTCTCTTCTTGCGTCAACCAGCGCGCAGTCTCCGGGCGATCTGTGAGCGTCGTGAAGGAGATAAGGGCCAAGCAGCATGTGACAATGCCCTCGATAGCAAAGATCATCCTCCAGCGTGTGAGCGAGCCGAAGGAATCGAGCGTGAGAATCGCTGAAGCCAACAAGCCTCCGAAAGCGCCAGCTAGGGGAGACATGACAATATACAACGACAGTCTGAACGCGAGCTCAGAGCGTCTATACCATCGAGACATGTAGTATGCAATGCCCGGTAGCATACCAGCTTCAAAGATACCCAGCAGAAAGCGTACGCCACAAATGGCATGAATGTTGTGAACAAAAGCCGTGCCAATCGATACGATACCGAAGCATAGTGAGATGATAGGGATGAACCATCCCGGGCCGAGCCATTTACAGCAGATATTGGACGGGATCTCGAAGACAATGTAGCTGACGTAGAACACGGAGAGAACGGTATTGTAGTCGTAACCACTGAGTCCAAGGTCCTTTTCGAGGCCCGCTAGACGAGCGTTTCCGATGTTGGCACGGTCGATGAAGCAGAATAAATAGAGAAGGGCCACGGTCGGGATGATGTACAAATCGATCTTCAGGCGGAGGCGTGACTCTGCCTTTTTGTCAAATTGCATCAAAGCATGGCCGTAGCTGTCGACATTGTCAGCAAAGAAGATCGAAGAGAGTGGCTAGACTCGCATGTCGGTAGCAGTATGTCCGTGTCCCGCAATCTGGTGCGCGTCCTCTGGCTTGAAGTCTTCATGTTGGCTGCTCGGTGTGTCTTTTTCAGCCGCGTAATCCGTCTGGGCTTGGGCCATGGTGAAGCGACGTCCTGAGCGCGTTCAGGTACAGAGAGAAAGAAGGAAGGAACGGCCTTTTTCTTAACAACGGCAAGTCGTAACGTCGCAGCCGCACCTCTGCTTTATTTGTACTCCACACCCCCCGGAAGGTCCTCCTTCACGCCGGATCGCAGCTGGGTCTGGCCGGTGTCCTTGTCAGCGCCGTTTTTGATGGAGCGCGCGCGCGCCAAGGTAGATGGCTGTCATTACTAGCTCTCGAAGTGGTGAAGCGCCTGGGGCACGGTCGCCAGCGGAGCCTTTCGGCGTGGAGACGGCTCTTCCCCGGACTCCACGATGATCGCCGACCCATCTATCTGAAGGCAAACAGCCGTCGCAATCCTTTCATGTGCCGTCGGGTGTCAGCGTCGGTATATGGCCGTTTTTCGGTTGTAGATAGGGCGTAGGGCTCACTTGCTTGCATCGTCATGGCAAAGATCTCTTCCCGGGTACCCCGCTACGCCACGACTCTTGCCACGACTCTTGGGACTGGGACCGATCAAACATTACCATGTGTCAAGCGGCTGATAGGCTGACGGGCCATTGCATATCCGAAATCGACGGGAGAGTAAGGGGACGTGTGGGTTCTGCGCAAACGTAAAACGAGTCAACGAATTGCACCTGCACGGCCCTTACTAAGCTTTGGAACGCTTGTGGAGCGTCCAACCACTTCATTGGTACGTTCAACCTCTACCAGAAGCCTCATAGGAACTCATGCTATGCACTTCGAAGAAGCCGTTACCCAAAGTTTTCGACCTTCTCACCGGTCTACAAGTGCTTGTAGAGTCTTGACGTGATGTGAAGCTTATCGCCTAATCTCGATTTTCGGAGAGATAGCGTACCAGGGTACCATGTGGTGGAAATGATTGTTCGTAATTGGACGCAAATCCCTTAAACGCTGCCGATTCTGATAGATATCATACATATAGCGGTCCTTAGAGTAAGCGGTGTATACTCGAGATTTTAACTTTCACTCGACACGCTTCTGTATCAAAGTCACCGCCGCTGCCAGCGCACCGATAATGTTACATCGTTACCCTGACTGAACATGCAACGCACTACTGGCATTGCTCAAACTTTCTATTCATCTTCAATCCGACCGTTCTGCCCCTATTGAACTTCTGATTCTTCTTCCATCCAGGGTAGAGCATATCGCACCTTCCAACGACGCAACAGTAGCTCACGGAAACCTTCAATGTCAACAAGGGCTGCTGCAGAAACACAATGGTACATCGCAGCTTGCGGATGCCCGAAGTAGCCGGTGTCCCTGTCTCGCGCTTCGATTTGATCTTTCTCCTTCTACAAGTCAGCCTT